GGAGTGGTATGAAGAAGGTGATATTGCATTTCAGTTCTTGATCCGATACGTTAAGTACATGTGTTTTATTCATACGCATAAATTTTCTAAACAGCCTCACCATGGGATAGTTACACTTAGACTGAGATTTAGAGCAGAGTCCCTCCCCGTAAAACGAGCACTCCATTCTTTCATCCATGATAGAGCCCAAAGGCAGCTGGCAGAGATGCCAACTGCTCCGGACGCGCCTAAATAATTTAAAAAACGGTAAATAATTACAAAGTAAATTTACAAATATTTGACTAATTTTGCTTACTTTAAAAGGTTTAGCATGACATAACTGTAACGAAGTGGTGAATTACATAAGCCTTCAAATTATTTAGAAATAGTGGTTGATAAAAACCCAGTATATCGAATTCATTAAAGGAGGAATCACAATCAATAAACTACCACTCGAAAATATTTATTCGCTGTCCGGAGCAAGTTGGCATCTCTGAGCTGGTAGTAATTTCAGTTGGAAAGTTTCAACAAAGTGATGCTTTATTTGAACTTTTGAATCATTCTCATGTAGTGGTGTAAAAAATAACTTTATTTCGTATTTATAAAATAAAGAATCATTCATTAAAACATAAGCTTAACTACCACTTGAAGAGATTTTCCTAAGGAAGTGAAGAAAGTTGGCAGCCCTGGGGTAATCCACCGTAACCCCATTTACATCTTTGTTACTATCCTCAGTGGTAGACTGATCATTGGTTAGAGTCCCCTTGCGTTAGGCTAACCGTGGGAGGTCCTCGTGCTCTTCCTCTCCATGCAACGCAAATGCGGATTAGTTCCTTCAAAAAGTCCTCCACGAAGGCAAATTTCTCCCAATACTTGACCCAGGAATTCCCTTGTCTTCTGGATTGGGTTCAAAATTACAAGGCTAAGTAGTTGAACATCAGTAGTCGTAAACCCAAAAATAGGGCCGACGACGATAATAAAATATGGAACATATACAGTGGTCGTTACCGAGACATTTCATTGTAATATTTTTGTCATCCTAAGCAAGGCAACTGTAATATGAGTTAAAATGTTTAAAATAGTTAAAAAAGAAAGAAATTTCAGAAAAACCTTAACTACATTTTATTTGAAATCTAACTTGTCTTCTTCATAAGTCCCTTTTCCTATAAAATACAAATTAACTTATTTACTCTCTATAATAACTCCTCTAATTGAAGTATCAAATAGATTTTTGATCATATTTTTATCTTAATATTCCCAAGGAACAATAATTAAGTTCTGAATCTCTTATTAGTATCAATTTAAAACAAGGTTGTGCGACCTCTTTGTCTGACGACATAATTTCAATATATTCGATTGATTAGAGCGATTTAAGAGAGCAAAATATAATGATGGTGTTTGAGGAGAAGACCTAAAAAATTCAATTTGGCGATATTTGACAGGTTAATACTCAGTTCGGATTTATTTCTTCCATAGATTATTGAAGAAACGTTTTGAATGGAGATCGAGTTCTCGTGAAATTATACTATATATCTTGTGCTAGTTTCCTCAGAAATCAATAGGGAAATGAAAAATAATGGTGAGAAATGGCATGTGGTGGATTCTTTCTAGTTTTGTAAAGAGACGTTTTCAATCATTTGTACAAAAGACATTTTCGGAAAACTTGAAGACTCTTTTCATCAAATGTATTTGCACAAATTAATAGACGATCGGATAAATCAGAGTTATTTTTGATTAAAATAGAGGGTCAAACGTTTATTTAAAAAAATGCAGGTAATGACAAATTACTTTAGCATCAAACTGTGATAATCATTTATATGATCGTGGAAAATTTACTTCCCACCAAAATCGTAAATGTTTAAATTTTGATGGGGAACAATTTACCCACCTATGATTTCTGTGAGCATCTTCTGATTACTTCAGACAGTACAAAGGAAAATATTAATGAAAGGCTTAGTTTTGATAAATGCTGTACCAGTATAGGTTAACTTGGGGTAAAGAAAAGAGACCTACATTAGGGGACTATCTTCTCCTAAGTTGCTTACGATTTGCGTTTGATCATTTCGCGTCGCGTTTATTTGCAGTTTCAAATGCAGAATTTATAAATTCGGTTTTTTATGAGCACGAAGTACAATTTTGTGGTCATTATTGACAGTAGGTGAAATTTTGATAGTCCCACTCATCTTACTATTAAAGAAACTTGGCAAGGATGTCAAGGCGACAAAAATTGTAAAATGTGGTAGAAACCGCAATTCATCTTTATATATTTAATTATTCAATCGTAACTACCACCATGACTTACAATGCATATTATTCATGTTTAAAAAATAATATCAATTATTTTGAATAAGAAATAAATAAAAAACTAATGCCTTAAAAAGATGCTAAATTTAGTCCCTTTTAATAGATTTTTGCTATTTATAGATCATCACGTTTTATATTTTTAGCCCCCTGTGTCATCCCTGACATGGTCTTAAAAATCAAATAAAAGTAATAAGCTAAATGAATTTCTTTTTCACAGATCATTCTTAACCTCTTCGAGACGGGCCAGTCGTATATGCATTCTCATGGTGTCGATAATCAGGGTAGAAAAAGATAAAACTGGTAGCCATACTATTTTTATAGCAGTTAATTTGTGGGCGGGGTAATAATAGTTTGCTTTAGTTAATTCAACACTACTTAGCTCGAATTAAAAATTGTACAGTTACATTCTTAACACAGAAGGATTGGATGTGTTAGATTTAAAGTGAAAGCAAAAATAAGTATGTCAAATTAGCTATGCCCAAACTTAAGCTACTGTTTTTTTATTTTTTTATTTATTATTGGACCGTCCTGATTTTGATTCCGTATGAATACATTTATGACTTGCCCGATTAATGCGAAAAATGGCCCTATAGTTAAGGGAGTATAAAGACAAAATAACGCCCTCATACCCTCATCTTAAAATTTAACCCTTCTAAAAAGAACTTAGTTCAAATATCTTTTAATTTCATTTCTTTTTCAGGTTGGGATCAAATTCTTTAAACATCTAAAAGAATCTTTTATGTCTAACCCTTTCAAGATTACATTTCGCACCGCAACTAAACAGTACAACACGTCACGAAATTTTCACTATGCATATTAAAAAATTTTATTACATTTTACTTTTGTATCTAGAAAATACTTCACTCTGAAATAACGACATTATAAAATTAATTCATTTTATAACCGCTGTTGGACAGCTGAGCCGATTTTGAGTTTGACGCATGTTCAACTCCATAGTTTTCTAATTTTGAACCTAATACGGAAGACAAGGGAACTCCTGGATCAAGTATTGTGAGAAATTTGCTTTCGATGAGGACTTTTTGATAGAACTAAAAGACACAGAGAGAAAAACCTCCCGCGGTTAACCTGAATTTAACCCATGATTCGTCTAGCACTGAGGATATTTTACGTCAGCACTGCGGTCAGTGCGAAATTCATTTCGATCAGACATGACTGGGATTCGAACCCGGTTCACGTTCACGCTCCGTTCACATGACCAAAGAAGATACATGAAAAATCCATGCATGAAAATTCATGCATGGATTCATTCATGAGAAGTCAGATCATGAAAATTCCTGTATAAAATGCAAGAAAATTCCGGCTTCAAAACCACTTAACGATAAAGTGGTGTATTTTATATATATTAAAAGTGGTATATTGAAATTTCTTTCAGCATTAACCTAAATTTACAACCAGAACTAAAACTTCGTAAGGACCTCGGGAGCCCTGAAGTATTTAAGAAGTCAGAACCATCCAGCAGCCATGATAATTATAAATATCCTAGAAATAATAAATTAAGATAACAATTTAACGCAATATACTTAAGAATTGGTTGTCATGAGAAAGGTTGTTGTCAACGAGGGTGAATTTATCATTGATTAAAAATAAAAACTAGTTTAAAAATTTGTTTAAATTTAATGCTACAAAAAAACTATATTACTTTTTGATGCCTCTTCTATTGTATTTTGTTCCAGTTCCTTACATTTTACCCGGTCCCAAATAGTAAATTTCGATGGAAAATTTTAGTCAAGCAAGACATTAACAAACGCTACCTTAGACACAGGGATGCCACAGGCACCTAGAAAAGTAAAAAGTGGTAGAAACTCAATTCATTTTTATTTATTTATTATCTCTTTAATTATATAATCGTATCTCTCACTCGGACTTGCTTTTCAAATTGTTCATATTTAAACAAAAAATATTCTTTGCATCTTTAGTCACTAGGAAAAATTTTTTTAATTTTAGTTACTATTTATAAAATTTTGAGTCACCAATTTAGACATTTTCAGTCACTTGTAGTAACCCTGTTGACGGTATATTCTAAGTTAAGTGACATACTTACACTTTTTGTTGTTTAAAGCAGCAGTTCCCAATTTATTTTTTCTTTCAGCTACGGAACCCTAAATAATTAATCTTTTTTCCGTGGATCCCCGGCTTTATAAATAAAGTTTATTAAGGCAATAGTGAACCAAATAACCTATTAAAGATCATTTTTAAAACATTTAATTAGAAGAATTAAGACTTTTCATTGTATACCATTAATAATCTTTTAAGTTTATTACCCACAGTTAAATTTGTAGTCCTTGTCATGGAGCCCTAATGTTCTACGGGATGCCATTTAGAAACACTTGCTTAGGGAATCGTGATTGTTAAACGTTTAAAGACATTTAATTTTTCATTCGAATGGCTTATAACATTAGTTGAATTAGTTTTTCCTGACTGGTAGTACTGCACTAGAAATGGTTGATAATTAAAAATATGAGGAGATTGGGCAATTTTTTTCCAAATATTTTATGACGGACACGGTTAAGATCCATCGTTACAGAGGAGACTATCTGCACCAGCATAATAAATAAAAAATCAGCAAATGTTTGCGTTGGTATTTATAAAGATCCTGTCCTACAGCATAAAGGCAAGTGTTATTTAACTTTGAGGTATAAAATATTAAAGTGGTAAACCTGGACAACTATTTTCAAAAGTAAAGATGATAAACTCACCTAAGCACAAGTGCAGCAATCCCGCCCCCAACGGAAGAATTTATCGTCACGATCGCAGACCTGAAGTAAATGAATAACAATAATGAATAACGTACCGTAAAGATAACAATCACAGGAAGGTTTAGCGTAATACCTTAAAATAAAATTTGGCAGTATCATTACGGTATCAGTTCATAATCAGGAAAAATAAAACATTTACGTCAACCGCAAATTGGAATAGCTTTTAAATTGAGCAGGAACGTTAAATTCATCAATGCCTAACGTTCTTTGAAAAGGACGCTTAAGTTTTTCATAAAAAGTGGTAGCAGGTAACAGTGTAAATAAGTAAAAAGTGGTAGCACAAATGTTTTAATAATAGTAGAAATAAGATTGTACTGTCTACTATATTAAATTCATAATAAGAATATTTTCTTTTGAAATTAAAATCTACGCTCTGCGTCTTTTGAAAGTTATAAAGTAGTAGATACATATTACGGTTCCACTTTTTTCAACTTTCTACCTCGGAGCAAAATGTTATGACCGGAAAAAGTGGCAATTTCCCATGTACGGTAAAAATATTTTTTTAATCGAATAATATCCTCTGTGCTAAGTATAGCTTTGTAATTTCTTTATATATTTTTGCGCACTACATCCATAGCAAACTGTCTTCATAACTTCAGTTTATCTGTATTTACTCTTTCTGTACCAGTTTTGCATAACATGAGTATTCATATATTGAGAAAAAAATAAACTAAATGGCTTTCTTTACCTGGCTGCATATTTCCACTTGTGACCCGAAACACCAAATGTGCTGCCACAGTTGAATCCTAGCCAGCCCCACCTTCAAGAGAACAATTATATACTTTCACAGTAACATCTATTTACTACAACCAACAGTTAATTGTAAAACACTTTTTCAAAAAAAAGAGTTTGTTTTCTTTGTTAGAAATAAAAACAACATTCATTATTTTCCGTAATGACCACTACGTAATTTATCATTTGTAGTCCTAGTCCTAGTGTTTTGATTTTATTGGGCACCTGGGCCGCGAAGCGGCCCCTATCCCATTCATCTGGAATTTTAGAACAGTTTTGGTTGAGCAATGAGGTAAGCAGGCAATGGAGTTACTTTTATGGATCATTTGTAATATCATACCTGCCAACTCTTCCGGATTTTCCGGAAGATTTTATTTTCATATTTAAAGTGTTAGTAAATATATACTATTTTTTCTTTTATAAACTTAATTTTTAAATGATTTTGATCACCACTATTCTTACAAAAACTAAGCACATAAATTAATATGAGTTAATATCATGGTTGTCAACTTAAGTTTTTTCATATGCAACGTTTTTATTTGCTTAAAATTGAAGGTTTAATTTTATTTTAATACCACTGGGAAAAATGATAATGGAAGGAATAAAAAGTTGGCAGGTATGNAACAGCCAACGCATTGCTATAAGGTCATTTTTATCTGAAGCGAGGGAAGTTCTTTTCTAACAAAAGCCTATTTAACTTCCTGACAAGGCAATTACCTCTCTCGAGTTCTAGGAAAATGTTGCATCCAACGAACAAGCTACAATTTCTGAAATTGTTTCACAAGTTGTGGACAGTGAGGACAATGACAGTAATCCTGAGACTGTAGCTGTAACCCATGTGAAAACCTCCAATGCAATAAATGTGATACGAAATTTTTTTACAAATCATGAGGGAGCTGAGTAACATTTTGAGAAGTTATAATATCTAGAAAACATTGTTCAAAAAATGAAACCAAAAACAAGACTGACCTGCATAAATGATTATTTTAAATAAGGTAAGAGTAATGTATGTATGTGCACTTGGAGGAAATTTGTAAACAGCTTTATTGTAAATTAAATTTTTTTTTATATCTAACATTCTTTAATTCTTTACTAATTCTGTTAAAATTTATTGACTTAAACATTTAATTTATGGCTGATCGTTTTCGTTTGTATTAAGATTTTTAAAAAGTCTTAATGTGTACTATTTACGTGCTTAGTTACAAACTGCTAATGAATCGGTTAAAAGGTCACCCCGCTTATAAGGTCACATTTGCGATGTCCCTTAGGGTGACCTTATATCGAGGTCTGACTGATATATATATTCTTAAAAATAAGAAATACTTAATAAATTTCGGTATCACTAAAAAATATACTTTTACAAAGTGGAACAAGTTGGCATCTGTTTTTAAGACCAACTAGGATACAGTGAAACAATTTTTTCTAAACTCTCAATCTTGTTCCCGTTGTCTTTTCTTTATGCTTTTAATGCATGTTTTAAAGATATTTTCTTGTCTTGATTAGTGTAAAAATTGATTATTTCGTCAAATATATTTGATATATGTTTCATTATAGTCAATACTTATAGATTAATTTCAGTTCTTTAATGCTACAAATTACCAAAAGTATTTAATAAAACATGTTTTGGATTCTTTCACATTAAGTTCTTTGAATGTGTCGAGGTTAATTAAAATAAGCTTATTGAACCTATAATCACTTTATGCTACGAAAATTGAAGTATAAAATCCGCTACCCAGCATAAAAGTTGTTTAACTGAAAGAAACACTTATTGAATTCAATATAAATTATAACTACCACTACTATTTTGTAATAATTATTTATATTCAATATAAAATTTCATAAGTCTAGTGAAAGGAAGCAAATGTCTTATTCGTAATGCAACTAGTTGCTGACTGAAAAAGTTAGTAACTAGGTGTTTATCTTGAAATTATAGCTCATTCCATAGTATTAATTCTATATCTCTTTCTTTAGAAGTCTTATCTCCCAATATAAACTATTTTTATATTGGGAGTTAAGAGTTGGAAATTGTTTTTAACTAATCTTTTAGTGATAAGAGATTTGGCAAAGTTAAGTTCTTAAGTAATCTTTTTTTTTCTTCTTCAAAATAATGATATTAAGAATAATCAGTGCAGTCATAAATGCATATCTGCCAACTTGTAATCTTGTATAGTCGAAAATCTATTTTTTATTTGGCGTTAACTTTAACCCATCAGAAAGTTCGTTGGCTGTAATAGAACTGGGTGTCTGAGGCCTTCATATAAATTATACATTCGTGATTTCCACAAACATAAATAATTCAGTATACATGTAATCAGTACTTGAAATCATTCATCCTAATTTTTTTAATTGAAGTTGCAGCTATACTGAAAAATTTGCTCCAACTCTTATGAAATATTTCCTACCAATTTTTTAACCATTTAATCTATAACAGGTCCAATGCATCTTTTAGAAAAATTGCCCGCACATAATTTGTTAAAATACTTTCAACATCGATATTAAAAGTTTATTTCTAGTATCTCATTTGCTCATCTGAAATTATTTTTCATCGAATTTCTAAACAATTTATTTTGTCGAAAATATTAGATAGTATCCTCCCGATGCTCATCTGTAACAATCCATCAAGTTTTAGAACAAAATTGAGGATACAAATAAGAACAGAATAAGTTAAGGACTTGTTTATAAATTTTAGTTTCAATACACTCGAGTCAGTTTTTCCATTATTTTCACAAAACAGTGAAGAACACTAATTTTCCAACTAAATAAATCTCTAACCTCTAAAGGCTTAATTTATTCCGAAAACGTGGATAAAGTAAGTTCATTGCATAAAAAAATAAATATACGACAAATAAAAACAAATAAAAAACTACGATAGTTTAGTTTCTGTTATAAATATCAGAAACTGAAGTTTCCAATTTTATTTCCTGAAATATATCTCTTAAGTTATTTATTGACAAATTATAATAACACAGGGCTGCCAAGCTCTCCGCTTTTTAGGAAATTTCTTCAAATAGTAGCTAAGTTTATGTTTAAACATGTAATTCTTTTTCTTTTCTCTTTTTTGTAAATTTAATTAGAGTTTCGTAAATTTAATTAGAGTTATCGTTATTAGAGTAAACTTAAAGTTATCCACACTACTGCTTGAAAAAGATTCAGAATATCATGGACTGCACGTATATATTGGCTCAATTAGTGAAACAGTGTTTTTAATTATAGGAGAAGTAACTTCACTTGAAAGTTTTTCCTTATTATTAATTTCAAAGTGTTCTCAGAATCTTAATTCGTGCGATATTTTCAATAGGGTCACTTTAAACAACGCCTCCTTTAACTGAAAGCCTCCACACGGTTTTTGAAGTTATACTTCTTATGCGACTTCCAACAATGTTGCGTTAAACGTTTAACACTACATTTTTATTGGCCGGGAAATCACGTGGTAGAATCCAGTTTTCCCTCATTCATTTCCATATTGTTTTGATTCTCACTAGCATAAAAATAATAAAAGTCATAAAAGTATTGTTTTTCTATAAATATTTTCTTAGTTTGTTTTGATACACATGTAATTTAATAGGGTAGTATTTTTTATTTTCAAATTTAGTGGATAACAATTGTAAAAAATGAGTGAAAACAATCCCACGGACAATGCGACGGATTTAAGGTTATGTCAAGGTACGTCTCTTGTGAATATCAATTGATTGNAAATATTATACAGAAACAAATTCAATTACTTGGGTTAATTACAGTCTGTCCATTAAATGTGGCCAATTGGAAAGTCACTTCTTACAGCACATATTTGAAGATTAAATATCAATGGGAAGTATGCGTCTATTTTTAATTATATTATCATATCTTGGCAAAATAGTCAACACCGCAGTACAAAGCATTTCTTCAATATTATTTAAATCTGATCAAATTTATGGTCTCTTGAAGACAAAAACGTCGTTTAAAGCAAAGATCTTTACCTATTTTCAGATATATTGAGTTTATTTGGAGATTGTAAAACTATTATAATAAATTATAAAAATATCAAAATTGCTTAAGTTTTTAGCCACCCTTACTGCAGGTGAACGGGCTCCAATTGGGGTCATGATCCACAGTTTTAGAAACTCTAATTTGAAATATTTAACGTGGTTTATTCTGCGCTTTTATTATGCATAGAATTAGCTATATATTGGACGAAGGATTGAAGAACAAAATTTTTTTTTGCTGCTATACAAGTACTTGATTTTACTTATTGCGGGTGAGAGGATTTTAAATCTGATTTTTTTTTTTATGTCTCGTAAATGTTTTTCAAAATGATATTCTTAGTTTAGCTTATTTTTTGTCTGAATGTATAAGAGTTTATAAAGAGCGGATAGGTTTGTATACATACAAAACCATTTGACTGTTCCTTTTAAAATAACTCCGAACACATACCTGCCAACTTGTACGGTCGTTGAAAAAGATTTTACAAAAAGCTTAGTGGATGGCAAACCAGCTATTGGTAAGAATATCCGAATGTTCGCTCTTCTAAAATTTTACACAAATTAACAAAAACGGAAGATTAATTTTTAAAAACCTATATAACCCGTAAGATCAAATGTTACTTACCAGAGCATGAACATCCCAACCAATGCATTGGTGGGTGAACCCAAAGAGGGATTAGAGTGATTGCCATTTTCATAGCGCCCCAAACGAGGCTTGAGCATTATGGCAGCTACAAGTGCTGAAGCTCCTCCAACAAGATGAACTGCCGAACATCCGGCTATGTCCACAACATTCAATGAAGATAGGAAGCCACGCTTTGTCCACACCCATCCTAGTGTGAAAAATGAATTATTTTACTTGCAGGACAATTTGGTACTTGCAATTCGAGAAGAAGTAAAGTGATTATGCACAACCTTGTGATTTAAATCAGACTTAATTGGATACCTGTGAGTGACGTCATGCGTGTTTGTCTAACCTGATTGGTTTCTGAATCGACGAATGACAAGATTTACCTAAGAGGGCGTCACTTGCAGATATCTAATTCTAATACCAGCTGATTCATTTTACTAATACGAGTGTGTAGGTGAGTGACAACTAATTATTTTTTTATTTAGCGACTTAGCGAAGTTAACTGTTTACGAAACTTATGTGCCGCAGTGGACTGATCGAGGGTGTGCGGTATTGGTCCTCGTTAAACTGTTCTGCCGTAAAGTGCTCGACTTCGCGTGCAGGTCGTCGGGCTACCGAAGCGGGGGTGCCTTCCCCTCTGCAGAGGATCAAAATTGTGATGGCATGTCTTTGGATCATCCTCAGGGGTATTTCCCAGACCGTCGTCAATAGCCCGTCAGGCAGCTCTAGTTCGACATAAATTAACGACAAACAACAACAGCGAACCTTATAGTCGGAATGTAAATATTTGCCTCAATTTTGTTCCAAATCTAAACAAATCCCGGTTTTGAAGCGTGAAACACTAGAACACAGTGAACCACAGTATAACACAGTGAAACACTAGATGGCGTTACGCGTTGCGTAACACAAACGGTTGAGCCTCGTTCCTGGCTACGAATATCAACAAAAACAGAGGCAAATATTTACATAGAAAACGAAACAGTTAAGAGGCACCACTCATCAATCGTCTCTTACTGAAGTATGTGTCGAAAACAATCCTTTATTTTTACAGATCTGCCAATCTTTTAAGCTCTTGGTCGATTTTATTTTCTTAATTTTTAAAATGGTAATAAAACATATGATTTAACGTTTGATTCAAAATTATTTAAAGCACCAATACTAAGATTTTAATAACTTAAAGATGTTAAGAGATATATTATGTATGTTGCGATATTTTAGAGTGCTGGTGAGATTTTAAAAACATTTGCTCATATATACAACACTTGCATATATTGTTCCTCTGTCGGTTTAAATATTGCGGAGAAACTGTACTTCCTGATTTACAGCTCTACTTTTTGCACTATCGTCAGATAGCTTAAAATCTGTATGAAATTCAGCAAAATATACGACTCATCCATAAAAATAGACACGTGGCGCAGAGTTCTCAAATAAATGAGACAGATTTAAAGTGAAGTAAGACTACATATTACAGTTTTAATATAATCAAGATTAAAATTTATTTATGTTAGTTGAATCCTTTAGTAGTTTAACCCATTTTGACCTATCCTGACAAATACGTCACTCGAATTGCGAGAATTCTGTGATAATTATTCTGATCTGAAAAAAGACTGTTTTCGCATCCAGCAATTTTTCTTAACTCTTTTCAAAATTCAAGTTGTAGCTAACATAAGAAAATATTCATTTAGTCAAAGATATAACCTCTTTTTAATAGGCGCTTATTTTGCATCACTGCATATAAAAAATTCAGACTTAATGGGTTAAGACAACATGGAATATGGAACTCAGCTCACCGTTGCCTTCAAAATATTCACCATTTGAAAGTAATTAAACATGCAAACATTTTTTTTTACACACTTTACCCGTGATTGATAATCTCAAATATAAATATCTTATAGTGAGATCGTGATAATAAACGGAAAGTAAAAATTTGAAAAAATATGGAGTGATAATTAAATTGGGAAAATGTTGAAAGAATATTCTCTTGCTTTAGATTATAATTTATTTCAAATTATAAAGGTTTAAAAATCTAGATGTATCGAGTGCACAAGTCTCGGCTCCCAATCTGAAGACTGACCAGATGTGAATAAGAAAAAAACATAACAGGTTTGAAAAAAAACTCAAAGTTATCAACGAGAAAAGGAAAAATTAAATAAATGTGAAAAACAGCACTAGTAGCCACCTCACTGTATCAGTATTAGACAGTGATATTGATCTTCTATATTTACTTTCAATTTGGTCACCAACATTCAATATACTTTAGCCGCTGAGAATTTATTTATTGAATGTTCTCATAACCAAATACCCTGATCATTTCCACCATCAATGTTTATTGTAAACACTATGCTGTTTTGTTTTTTACTCCTTCCTCCCTATGTTAGTTTTAATCACCCATTTTAATTCTGATCACGCTTCATACTTTCATTTCCTTTGCTTTTAACCTTTGCTCTGACTTTTTATACTTTTTTTTTCACTTGAGAACTCTATTAAAGGCCTTTAACGTCTTGTCTCTTGCCTTCACGCTTTTAAAGTCTTTTTGTCTTACAGTAGTGCCATCTATGGCCAAAAATTCAACTTCTGCCACACACATACGTCGCAAACCATTAATAGGTTGGACCCAATCATATATACATTCATTTATTCACAGATCGTAATTTTGACCTGAATCAGAGAACGATCAATCTCCAGTATTCCCTGAGCTATGATTTGTTATGGGTACATGGAGGACTTAGTGACCCGGCAGATTTAAACTGCACGAGTCACCATTTACTAGACGAGGAGCCTTCTACCGGCGGTGATCGAACACTCGAGCTTTTGAACATGTACCCAACGCTCTTCCAACAAGGCTATCCTAGCTTTACTATGATAAAAAAAATTATGAATGATTCATGAGCCGTAATGGCTCAGGGGATAGAGCGTTCACCTTCCAATGAGGTGATCCGGGTTCAAATCCCAGCAATGGTTGTTCGATTCAAATTTCGCACCCGGCTTGCACCGAACTCAGTGCTGACGTAAAATATCTTAAGTAGTAGACGGATCATGGGTTTGAGTTTCCTTGCCGTCAGGCTAACCATGGAAGGTTTGCGTGGTTTTCCTCTCCATGTAACTCAAATTCTGGTTAGTCCCATTTAAAATGTCCCCCATGAAGGCAAATTTCTCCCAATGCTTGATCCAGGAGTTCCCTTGTCTTCTGGAGTGGGTGCAAAATTACAAGGCTACTAATTGAACATTAGTAGTCGTAAACCCAAAATTGGGTAGGTTGTTCAACAACGGTTATAAATATAAATAAATATAAGTGATTTATGCATTATAAGTTTTATTACAAAGGATAATTCTTTTTTAAAAAAATACTCAAAAGAGTAGTTTGTAGAAATCAAATGCTTTGTCAATTTTCTTAAATACGCATTTTGAGATTCATCCAAAATAAAAAGCACATCGACAATATATATTCATCTATAAATCGCTTTAGGAAAAAAGAGTTCTATGGAAGAAAAGTAACGAAATCTGATCGCTGCCTATTATCCGGAGCAAAAGCTGTAAATTTCGGAATATTCTGAAACATGATATTCTCAAGAAAACTGGAAGGAAAAAAAGGAAAGTGGTGTTGACAAGCCTTATTGAAAATTATGTAATAAACATCCGTGATGTTGCTTCATTTGTTTTAGAAAAACTTTTAACGATTTCTGAGATAATTTATATGCTCATTTAAGTTAAGATATTTAATGAAATTTTGGAAATCTAATCTCTTACATAAGTTTACGGATACCATAATAACTGTTAGTTAATCTATTTGTTTATTTAATTCATCTTATCAAATATACATTATCTAAATGATGGCTCTGTTATTATGAATCATTATATCACATAATTAAAAGATTTTAATTTGAATCATAACATGTTATGCCTGTCAAGGGACTCAACTTTATAATTCACTTGTTTTTCACATTAATGGCGTTGTTTTTCTAGGGCAGATGTTCCAAAACTTTAGGCTGTGGTACTCTTATAAAATTTCTAACTGTCGCACGGAACCCTAGTCGTTTCTAGGGGGATTTAGTACATATGTTACAAACTTGAGGAAAAGTAAGGCACATCATTATTATTGAAAATTACACAGAAATCCATGATCAGTAATATCACTAAACGCCGCTGATTGTGCTTCCTCGATTAACACATTTATGATTAATTAACTCATTTATGCTACCTTTTGGCTCTATCTTTGCGTAAAATTATGCTTTTTCGAGAATAATAAACTATTTTTTTATAACTGCAGTGAGTTTACAACGGTTACTTATGACTATCAGGCCTATTAAGCCTAAATTTAGCAACGCAGTCTATGATAATTCTGAAAATGGAGCAAAACTTCAGTATGGAGAAAATCCACTGTTTTGAGAAAATGGAAAGCATTTGTGTTCTAATTTTTTAATCTTTAAAAACTTACTCCAATGTTGCATTATCTGGGCTCATATTAAAAATAAGAATAAGGCATTGATTTTGATACTTATAATCTAGGTAGAAAAATGTCACAAAATTGACGATTTAAAAAAAAAAATTTTGATTATTTATAAAGCATTCAGGCTATTTGTCTGTTCTGAAGCCCAAACTATTCTTCACGGCAAGAAGGCATATATATAGTTTGAAACTATAACTTTACTTCAAGCGTAAGGCATTTAAACTGTGACGATTTTTTTTCTTCTTGTTGGCGAAAAACTTCAAAAAAAAAAGTTAATTAACTTATTTAAATTTAATTATAACTCATTTGTGATCTTTTCGTTCTATCGTCGCAAGAAATGATGTTTTTTTGCGAATAATAAGCTATTTTCACAACTGCTGTGAATTTGCAACAGTTACTTATGACTGTTTAGCTTATCTTTAGTCAATCAATCAACGCCAAACGTCATTATCGAAAAAAATCAACCGTTTTTAGAAAATTGAAAGCATTTGAGGTCTAATTTTTTAATCTTTAAAAACTTTCGCTAGGGTGGAAAAATATCACTAAATTGACAATTTAAAAAAAAAAAGTTTAATAATTTTTAAAAATATTTTCTTTGTTTCTAGTAACCTCAGATATGCTAATTAATTCGTACAGACGATAATTTAAGTTTCAAAATCAGACACGAAAAACGTACTTTTTCTGAATAAATATACCTTTTTTTAGACGGATTCGAATTTCTGATCCCAAAACATGGGTAGCCACAATCTGGGAAATGTGGTTTGATC